ATTCAAAAGAGTTTGAAGTTAAGACTGTTTCTCAAGGTGGCCGTACACTGGACAAACAAGGCCCAAGATCGCGAGCTATGGAAAAGAAGTTGGGATCTGTGCCGGACCGTCGTCCTGATTTAAGAGTCCTTCAAGTCTCTAAGTATATTCGAAAGAGTAGAATTACTAAACGCTGATCTGTGCCTTCCCCGCTGACCCAGTCCTCGTTCGGGAGGCGCCATGTGTCTGACTTCATTACGAATACCGTCCAACATTTGTAAGCGCATCCGACCTACACCGCGAAGCAACCGGTGTATGAATAGCTTTTCCACTTCTGATCTAATCTGATAGTTATTACCGTTAGCTTTCAAAGTCAACTCGGGTTCCTTGGTCCGAGACGGGTTCTATACAGTGCTTTTTATCACGATCAAATGAGCTTGTGAACATTGCGCCTCTTGCCTCAGCATCATCCCTTGTGTGGGATAGCGGCTGTATGCACGACTGAGCACGGATTTTTTTGGCACCCTTGTACTCTTAGAGAAGCCTCTTTCTTCCTCAGTACTTCAGCCTGAAGAGGATCTCTCAGCTTCATTAAACCTTCGAGCTGTGAAGTGGACTATAAAAAACTTGACAAGCACTCCGCGCTAATGAACAGCCACCGTGTTCGCCAATCAGCCATCCTTGTCGTCCTTGCCAGTCGAATTTTCATGAGACTCTCAGCAAGCGGATTTCGGCCCCTGCGGAGGGTTCCACTGCCATTAATACAAGATCAGGAACAAACAAAGGAGCTCGTGACGTACGAGACCCGGAAATCGAATTTCTATCCCGGAACCTCAACAATGAAGGGAAAGAGACCATGGGAGCGCCCTATGGCTTGCCAACACTAATGAATTTCGATCCCTTAAAAGCCAAATTTTCTGAATGCACAGTCTTATACGAGCAGCCGACGTGAACAAACTGAGGAAAAAGTGTTCGCAAACTCGTAATTCAATGTTTTCTGGACAATCAGAACATGGTGTGTTCTGGATGCATAGTTCTCACTAGGCGCCAGATGAAATTTGATTAGCAAAATGTACGTTGAAAAAAGATCATGTTAAGTCAGTGAAAATTGTCGTGGCCTTCAAAAATGTAAAATGCGGGAGAGCTTATATCCTTCACAATCTTCAATTCATTCCAGAGTTTTATGCAAAAACGCTGAATGTCCTGCTCGACCTATTCATTTTGCCAAGAAAAAGTCGCTAGAAAGTGGAAAATGGTGGTAGGGATCTCATTAGCATAGTGGGTTAGTATATTGTTCGGAATGCATATGTATGATTTCGAGTCTCTTCAGAGGCAGAAGACTGCTTTACTCCTGACTCTGCATGTCGATAATAAGCGAGTGTTAAGTGTCCTTACTGTGTCACTCATGTGAAAGCAATCAGCTTGAAAAACGTTGGCGTCATTTGCATGTCTAGACACGCTGCTGCTCAAAATGATTTAGGCCACTCCCCTCAGCAAAAAAACAACAAGAAGGAGTCACAGCATAAAGTAGTTAGAAACGGTGTTGTGACATCTAATCCTTTTGCTCCTCTGCGTCTCCCTCACAAGGCCAGACACCAGACACTTAGGCCCAAACTTTTGCCACAGGTTAAGTGGCTCACACACCCCCCCCACCCCCCTGAATTGGCCCCATTCCCCTGGCTCACGCATTCTTACTTACTACAGGTTCCCTCCACACCAAAAGGATTAGATGTCATACAACCAGAAAATTGGGAAAGTAGAGCGCGCTGGTCAACACCCCTTGGCCTAGCTTACCCGCTTACCACACTGGGTTAGAACAGTGGGAGGCGTCGGTACCACGCTGAGATTTTTTTAGATTTCATGCGATGAGCTCGTTCATCAAAAGCTTTTATCTCAGCACCCGATTAATCATTGCTTTTACCTAGCGTTAGGTGAATGGCTCATGCTGTTTCTTTACAACGAGAGGAGTGAAGTGCCATTGAATGATAGGCTTTATGAGCCTTTTTCAAGGGTCTCTGAGAGTTTCCAGCAAGTAATCCCTCGATGACGCTGAAGCTAGGGGGATAATTATGCAGTTGTGTCGTTAACTAAACAGAATGGGAGGTAGCTCTTGCGGATTTCGCATAGCGCAAAGACATTCCTAGGCTATTTGTGGCTTTCACACATAACTGACAGGTTGTCAGGGGTGCAAAAAGTCGGACAAAGCGTTTCAGTCGTGCCAGAAATGAGCTTTTTGCAAGATGCAGCTGTTAGCACTTGAAGTGTGAGGAGGGTGTTTTCACAGAAGTGCATGGGAACCCCATATCGCGGTAACGATGATAACTCTTGAAGCAATCAGCCGACGAGTGACGACAGACCCCTCGGCAATAGAATGCTTCTCTAGTAATTACTAAATACACATAGCAGTAGTAGTCATACCCATCATATCGATCCGGTTGCCCAACGCTAACGACATCGTGACGAGGCCCAGGGCGAGTAGTGTCATTAGGACGGCCACAAGAGCCACCACACGTTTCACTCGACGTTGATTATGTTCCTGAAAAAAATAGACGGTCATCTGAAGAAATGCTGACGTCATTTGATGCCGGGCAAATTCCCCAAGGGTAAAATGCTCAAAGGATCTCGGCTCCCAGATCAAGACGGTTCAAAATCTGCGCTCAGAAAAGCGTGGTTCTTTCAAATTTTAGCATCGTCGGTTAGCGCCAGTCGCCCGCCCCGTGCTATTTTTTCTTTTTTGTTCTTCTTCAGTAGAGCTATCAGGGCGTGCCGGCTGAAGGGTGAAATCGGTAATGGACAAAGTCAACAGCCTAAGCCTATAGGCTCCGAGCAGTTGCTGGAAGTACCTACAAATTGAGGGGGAAAGGAACTCTTGAAATATTGTCAAAAGGCCAGTCGCTCGGGACCATTGGCTAATGTTCGTCAAATAGCTCAATTGGCAAAGTGATTTTGAAGGGTCACCGAGTGCACTGCTCATTCCATGTCCCTTAGAGAACCACTTTGAAAAAGAGAGGGCTAAAATCGTGCAAAATGAGGGCAAATAATAGTTTGAGTATCCCAGAATAATCAAGAAAGCTCTATTTCTCAGGTGGAGACTACTTTCTCCTAACTACCGCCTAACATGGTAATTTTCATGAGGTTGGCTTCGATTTTCTAAAAACCGACTTCTAAGTGAGTCACACGGAGTACGGTAACCAGAAAGTGTTTTTCGGGAACGATGTAGGCTTGAGTTTGTTGAGCTTTTTTCGGCTTTTTTTTTTGGCGGTTACGCTAAAAAATTTTTTTAAAAAATTTTATTTAATAAATACTACAATAATGTAAATCAAATTCTTTATACCTCTCCTCCCTTACTGATGAGCACAGGGAGAGGATACTCTTTCGTTTAGTCTCCGTCTAAGGGCACGTGCGAAACGGAGACTAAACTACTCTTTGAATCCCACCCCCTAAATAAATTTTGAATAAAACATATAAAAATATTGAGATCGAAAAATAAAAACAAAAACAGTTTAATTTCACAAATACAAAAGTTTAATCATATATAAAGCCATTACTTTTATTGTAATTTGGAGATGAAAAGCAGTCCTCTCAATAGCTTTGAAGGAACTCCGTAGGCGAATCTTTTCTATGCGCGCCTGCCCGACTTGTCCTTGCATCCGAAGCTAGCATTATAGCTCTTGACCCCCACAATTGATATAAAACTGGGAATGAGCATCCAGCCAGATTTTGATGCGCCATCAGGAAGAAGGTGTTCATGGGAAGTGGTGAAAAAGTGAAAAGGTGGAAAGGTACAATCATCGATCATGAGCGCCAATTGGCCCCCTCGAGACCACAAACGCTGAGTGGCAAACGGCTATCAATTTTCGTTGACTTATGGTCGAAAATCGGGCAATGGCCGTTCGGATATCCGAAAATTTTGCCGCGAGACAAAAATCCGAAGTGATTTATTTAATAACAATTGATGGGTAAGGAATGCTTGACGAGCCAGGAAGAACAAGCCCTCAGATGCTCAGTCTGGGGTGTCTTGTGGACTATGACACGGACATATTTAGGCATAATGAATGCGAACCTGGATACTTGGAAGAAGTAAACTCTCTAAGCTTTCAGGTGTAAAAGGGCGATCACGGCTCCATAAAAGAAGCCGTAGTTGGTGGTATAAATTAGTTACCAAAATTTAATAATATATGATATAATCAACCAGACTACCTTAGCACGAGCGCCGGATAAGCTTTCTTGAGACTCACGCAAATCTCCATAGTCGTGGGTTTTCCTGACGGAAATACCGAGCCACCTCAAGACACAAGGACTACTCTAAGGGAGCTCTACTCCAGGGATGGGCACTTCCTTTGAATACTTATTGGTAGCTATTCCTAGTAATGGCCTCATGCACGGGTCGGGCATCGGCGAACCAGCTCTTCTGAGAGGACCACCCGGTCGAGTTCTTGAACCTGCGATAGCCTTCCAGCTCCAAGCTACACCGGGGGCCATCAATGGGTCCGCTTTGGAGAGCCGGGTAGCTGATTCTTGGGCTCCAGGAAGAGCCGAATGACGGCTGTGGGGTGGCGTAGGTGATCATTGGTGCTGGGAGAAAAGCTCACATGCCCACTAGCCACGCTTTCAGATGTCATTCTCACACTCTCATTAAGGTCAGGGCTTTCTACTTAAATACCCGAGGGCAAGTTCCCATGGAAAACCCCGTGGGCAAAACCGTAACTGGTTATAGGGTAATTATGCTTTTATACGATTGTGACGTAAATTAGGGGATACGAATAGCTCTAGTTTCACGGGTAGCATAGGAATGTTCCCAGGCCATTTCTGAAGTCACATAAATGACAAGCTGTCAGGGTGTGTGCTAAAAAATCATTTTGCTTCGTCAAAAGTGATACTGGGGCCGCTATTCGTCAAAAACACGGGGGCTGGGGGCGGTCAAACAGCGTACTGAAACCGCTCCAACTATATTTTTTCGTGTATGTAAAAGCGAGATCAAAACATCATCTGCGAGAAGCTCTCGGATGCATGCGTTGTTTTCGTTTTCCCCGTAATTCCACCCCGTTCCTAAGCTCAGTCCTAGGAGTTGTGCCCATATTTTGCGATAGCGCCTGATACACTCTTGGATGCAATTCCTAGAAAGTGATTCATAACGCTCGAATCTCTCCGATGCCCCAAATCGGTTGCTTGAAACTGAATGACCAAATCACCCCGTAAGGGATTCGATCCAACAAAAACAAGCCTACACTATAATAAATCGCCAGTAAGCCAGTCAAAGTGGTTGGAGTTTGTTTTCGAGCTCAAGTGGAGAAGTCTTTCAGTAGCAGGGAATTATGGCGATTAGCGCTCACATTAGCGTGTTCAGCTCTGTTGCGTACGCGCTTTTAATGTCACATCCACTTAAATGACAAGGGCTCGTCAGCAAGGAGCTTATCAACAGCTTTGACGGCTGAGCGACGACGGCGGCCACCGTGACTGAAGTCTTTCAACAGCGGAAACCTTGTGACGGATTTCACGGAACGTCAAACACGCCACCGCCGTTGCTATTGCTGTCGTCGTTGTTGTTCCCGTATACCCCTAGTATTACCCCCATTACTGCTAGTACCCAATTTCGCCCGTAGGTCGTCTAGGGAGAGCGGTCTTGACTTACCTTGAGCTGTTGTATTTCAATATCAGACAGTTCATATTCGTAGTCTTCGACGACATCTAACTTTTCATCAGGCATGAATCTTCGCAGTTCTGCAGGCGAGAGCAGAACAAGTTGAGGATTAAGCAGTCGCGGAAACTCAGCAGACGAGACACTGACAAAAAAGCAACAGCAAAGATGCAAGAGGCGGACACGGTAGAAGCGAGCCGGCAACGACTGATGAGGTGCCGAGTGTCCCCGCAACAAGCCAACAGCGGGGCGGGGCCGCGCTAGAGATCGGGACGACGCGACGACGCGAAGCACGGCGCCGCCCGCGGCGATGACTTGCTTGCGGCGCTGTCCACGCCCGTGCAGAAGAAGTGAGGTCTGGGAAGGAGCTGGGAAAGGTAGCGACATCATTAGGAACCCTCACCCGTCGTGGGCTGCTAGTAGCTCTAGCAAGAAGTTCGCGGATTGCCCGGCTCATTTCCATTTGGGAACCCTCGGTTTTCACGATGCCGAGGAACTTCCTCCTGGATACGGTAACTGTAGTTAGATGTCGCGAAGCCTCAGGAATCCAGAGCCCATGTTGTTTTTCTGCGATCTCTTGGAAATTTCGGGGGAGTAGCCCTAAGTTTCCTCCCCCTCACCCTCCCTTCACCCTGTATCATGATCGGGAAGCTCACCAACTTGTCAAATGAATCGCGAAGCTCACCAAGTTGTCAATTCGGGTTGTAAGTTGGGTACCCACAAGCCGGCGATCGTTTATTTAACACTCTAGGGCCGGACTCTGAAGGCAAGGTGGATATCGAAAAGTTAGAAAGCGAGAATAGGGAGAAAATTCGCTATTTGGTCAAGTACTGTGAGTCGAATATTTAAAATATAGTAGGCCATTCTTCCCGCTGAAATCATGTGTTGATCCTTTTCCAGGGATCCGGGTCAAATTCTGCGTAAACGCACGGATACTGCAGCTGACTGTGAGGGGTCATGCCAAAGGTTGTACTTTGAAAAATGAGAATCAAAAATTCAGAGCGAAGCCTCCTGCTCCAAGTAGGCCCTCTCTCCCTTTTTATTGAGATGACTGCCTACTCATGGTCAAGGCGTGGCCCCGGAAGCTCGGGCTATGTTCGAGGATCGCGCCAATGCACAGATGGTGACTGAAATGAGATGAAGCCCTTTTTCAAGGCGGTGACCTGAGAGCGTTGAAGGTCTTGTTAGTGCAGCTCTTCTTGAACCAACTTCTGAACCTTCCAAGAGTACGTCAGAGCTTTTTCAATGTCACAGCTGGAAGATTATGTGTCGATTACTTTGTAGCTAAAAAATAGGCTCGGAATCCAAGGCTTTTGGGAATCTCACTGTTCTCACATATTAAGACTTTTATCCGCTCAAAGATTACGACTCTGTAGGGTGTTTCGTTGGAATGTTACAGGCGGCTGCCTAGCTCGAGCATGAAAATCAAATCACGGCTAACTTCCTTTCTCACTCTCGTTCTTCTTCCCTTCTAATACAGCTCATTAGAGCTTGTTGCTAGAACTGTTGCACAAAAAGTCACCGGGATGTCGATACATGGCACATTCCAAAACGAGATTGGTTATAAGGTGTTGGGCTCAGTATAACGGCACAATGACTCCCATTCTCTCGGCTTTGAATGCAATGGATGAGAAATTAGACGATGCACAATTTAGCGTTCATTTCTCTGCAACGAACCTGGTTCCAGTTATCTAACCGTAGGATTACCTGACCCCGGGTATGGCGAAACGCCAGGTTAGCACTCGGCTAAGCTGAATGATTTCTTTTACATGGATAATGTGTTGTCTACGATCGCCACTTGCCCGGCTTCGCACGTACTCGGTACAGGCCAGATGTGGGCTTACCCACGTTCCTTTACAATGTGGGACGCGGTCCCCGAGTGATTGGCCCACGATCTGCTCGCTGATGGGCGTGTTTTCAAACACTACCGCACAGGTTCGCGCCTTCAAATCGTGGAAGAAAGTTGGGGGAGCCCGCCAGGATGTGCCAAAAGATTTCACTTTATTGAAGATCCCCCCCCCCTGGCTCCCAACCCTGAATCCGACCCTCTAACTATAAACCTTGCCAGATCAACCAATCGTTGGCTTTTGATTACGAGTAGTGGGTGTTTCAAACGCATTCTCACATAGGGCATGATTCTGAAAAAAAAAGACTGCGAGCGGGAACCTTCCCGTAAGTACAAAGTTCGCTTAATTAATATGCAACTTCGACGTCTCCGCGGAGCTGAAGAGAAAGCTCGACAATTCCTGTTGTCTCTAGGGTTCCGAGATAAGCGCAGGGGTTTAGTCTGTGCGAAAAGTTACGGAATAGTCACTTTCTTGCCATTTTCTCCACTGGTACGCTCGTATGTGGTCATGTACTTCTTTAGTGATTATATGGTAAATACTTAATTTAGGCATAAAAATTTGTAATAGATATGGCAGATATATGATATTCGGCACACAAGCTCCAGTACGGTGACTGGGATCGCTCACGGAATCACCTTTGCTTTAGGCAACCGGTCGGCAGTATCTAGAGTATATGAAATGGTGCAAGAGATGCCTGAAAAGATGGCAAACACTGGCTTTTGCACAGGGCTCGCGCCCCTCCCACCCAGGGTCTGTCCTATCGTTGTTACTTTTCGAAAAATTTTTACGACCCCCCTCCCCCAACGTGGATTTGATACGACCCCCTTTTCCCTACCTCCACCATCTCCATCTTCCATCAAAACCCCGCCCACTTTTTCCTCCAAAAATGCCGTCGAGCGGGGGGGGTATAGTCACTCTGAAACGGTAAATATCTCCGAAAATTTCCTTCTATTTCCACCATTTCAACCCATTTTTTTACCTATACTCACTACTACTTCCTTTTCTAGGGGGGGGGGGGGGGGGGGGGGGGGGTATATACGCCCGCTGAAACGGCAAATTTTTATCCTGCGCGCCCTCCACTCGCCCAGCCTACTACCCACGAAATCTTAGTTTCACCTCAATCCCACACGTGATTTCGAGCGACTAAAGTGGGTACGACCCCCCTCCAACAAACTCAACCAGGTACGACCCCCCGTTGTTACTGTAACAACGTAGGGTTGACCCTGCTCCCACCCCGTATGTCATTGTATAGGCTATGTCAAGTTCAAAGATCACTACGGTCCTGAATGGAAATGGGTACCAGGGGATGGAGACAATAACGCGGTCAGAGTCGTCGCCTTCCAGTTGGCGGCGTCGACCACTTTTTGGAACACCACGGATTCCATTTTTAAGGGAGCTAGCCTTGCGGTCGAGGCAATGACGGTTGGTTTTCCACCTCCGTTCCATCCTGCCCTCCTTCCAGTGCCCTCAGCTGCCTCTGGCAGCACCACTTGTAGAATGACCGCGAAGCGCTGCTCAGTTAGGTGATGCAATATAGCTGGAGCGAGTGTGTATCGCAAACAATCCTACTATTGGGTTGTCTCATAATTCCTGTCTCATTTCTATTCAATTTCAAATTTCTTCCGTCTAAGACCGTTTCATTGCGAAATACGTTAGTAGTTGAAGTATGCTTCAAGAGCCTTAACAGCATGGTTTCGGAAGCGCAAGCCCGTAACGGGTTAATCAACTAGGAATAAAAATAGGTCAGTGACTATAATGAATGATTATGCTTTACGATCCTCAAATCAAATGAATCTGTGGAGGACAACAGAGAAGACCAGCGCTGTGTTTGACCCAGTCTCTGCTACTGATGGGGTACTGAGCTAGCGGTCCAATCGCAACGGCAAAGACGAAGCGAGCTGTGAAGTTCAACCTCGTACGCCATCAATATGAAAAGGACTGCTGCGCGGAATGAAGTCTTGATGAGAACCTTATGGTCCAGCCGACCATGAGCGAGAAGCACACCTGACCATCTAGGGCGACGGAGAACCTATTCTGATACGGCAAAAGCAGAGCCTTCCCTAATCGGTCACCAGTGGAGAGGAGTCATGAGTCCACTATTGACAACAACACGCGGCACCCCTTCACGGCTAGCTTCGCGGTTAGGAAGCACCAACTCAACCGAAGCTCGAACTCCGAATGCGAGAATATCATCACTTTCGGTTTATTGGATTCGCTGGGTGGCCAGGTTTTGGACCCACTTCAATGTATGAAGGCAATCATTGCTAAAGTCAGCGTGAAATCACTCTAGGCTGGCTTCGGTATCTTCAGAAACGTTTTAAATCTCCCTTCTACAAATGAACGCCCGACCTCACATTGCAAAGCCAACTCACCACGTTGTGGGGGAGATAGCCAGGGCCACGATACCTCATCCACCATAAAGCGTTGGCATTGCTCTATCGGACTATCGCCTCCCCTGTGCCTTGAACAGCAATCTGCCAGAGAAGAAAGTTAAAGATTGCTACTACCCCAAAAACGACCTCTCCAAATTCTTCAACTTCCGGCTTCACTTATTCTGGGCGGAAAACTTCCAAACATTCCCCAGCAAATGTACGTAAATCAGTGACCATGATGGTGGTTATGCTATTGATCAGTTGTTTCCTAGAAGATATAAAACTTGAATAAACAAAAGTGTCGAAATTGAGACAGGAATTATGAGACAACCCAATTTAAAACATTGATAGCTCAAGTCCACCGAGCTCTCAGATTTATAGTGGCTTGTTTTAAATTTCGCAAGCTGCTTTTATTCACTCACTTCATTTTCGGAACCTAGCAGACAATACAGTGCGCGTCAATTGTATATGCCACCCCCTGATTTTTTCAGTTTTCTGACTTATTTGGAAATTTCGTAAATCGGCATAGCAACCATCGTTTTCGGCGTGTCGGAAAACTAGGAATGGTGTTGTTTGATTTTGGTTAACGCGTGGATTTGAACTGCTCTGTTCTTTGAAGAAAATGGGCCGCGTCAATTGCTTATGCCATCTAAAGTTTCTTTCAAAATTTCTCATTTCTCTAACGCTATTCAGCTACGGTGGGCATGTCATATAAATGAAGAAGTCCTCCACTTATGCAACGCGCATAAGTGGCGAAGCAACGCATCTGTACGTGTGATCAGTTCGGAATAAAAACACATTAGCCCTTTACTGACGCCGGGGGCGGCGACTTAGCAGCATGAACAAAGCTTTATTCAGAAAAAGGAGCGGTGCTGCTCACTTTATGCGAACCGCTCCGTGAAACATGACTTGTACATAGAACTCATCGAGGAGTGTATCCAGGCAAAACTGAGGAAATTTGAAGTGCTCAAGGAGCTTAAATTCTCATTTTCCCGCTTCGAATCCGTGGTCAACTTTATTGTGGTCTCGGCTCCCGCGAAGCTCGAAGCGTTCACGCTCACAAAGTCTCTGTTCAGAGAGAATATGAGTTGCACTCACAATCCGCGTAGTACCCATCGCCGAACTTTGTCGGATTCTCTCTGGAAAAATTTTCGTACCGAGCGAGCGAAAA